CATTAATTCCATAAACAAAAGTTAACATTAATACAACATCAATGAACCATTTTATAATGAAACATTTTCACATTAACATTAATTCCATAAAGAACAAAATATAACATGCACCCGTTTCATTATATATTTATTTCATAAAAGAACACAATACATTACGCACCTGTTTAATTTTCATTCTACCAACTAAACGGATCAACTTCAATCACAAAGCAACATGGATCACCATAAACCTAGATGTACATTCAATCACAAAGCAACAAGGATAACCATGAAACTTCAATCACAAAGCACCTATTTCATTAACACGTATAATATGCATAGACGGAGCAAATAAACCATTTTACAATGAAACATTTTCACATTGAAACAGTTTCATGACCATTGTTTTTTGAACTTTGTTTATGAAACTATTCATTACAATATTTTCATTAGGAAGTAGAGAGATTATATTATTTCGATTTTTCAACTATTTTGAAACGTTTGATGAAACCGTTGCATCAATAGTTCATTTTCCTTATTCCACTCATATGAACATGATTCATCATTATGAACATTTTCATTATGAAACAGTTTCATGAAACCTTTTCATTAAAGTGGATAATATGCCTAGAGTATTAATTTGGACAATATGCCTAGAGTATTAATTTGGACAATATGCCTAGAGTATTAGATCATGAACATGCTTCATCATTATGAACCTTTTCATTATGAAACAGTTTCATGAAATTTGCCCCATATGAACATTTTCATTATGAAACAGTTTCATGAAATTTACCCCATATGAACCTTTTCATTATGAAACAGTTTCATGAAATTTGCCCCATATGAACCTTTTCATTATGAAACAGTTTCATTATGAACATGCTTCATCATTATGAAACCTTTTCATTATACATTTAATATAATATGCAACCGTTTCTTCGTAATGAAACATTTTCATATGAACATTAATATATTATGCTATGGTAATATGAAACTTTTTCATTTTAAAACCTTTTCATTTGAAACAGGTTCATAACCACTAATTTTTGATACAATGAACATCAAATCATTCATTCATTACATAACAAGATAAAATCTTCATGAATGTTTCCAGCTTCATTGAATAAAAAAAAACAAATCAATTTTTAATATTATAAAATATTAAAATCTTTAAATCATTCCATTTATATAATTTCCATTATTAAATTTCCTTATTTAATATTCCTTAATAACTTCCTTATTTATGAAAAAAATAATGAAAATGACCAAARTGACCTTATTGATTAAATTTAATTAAAAAGAATGGAATTTTCCTATTGGTCGATTTTGGTTTACACGGTTTTTTAGAATGGCATGGTTTTCATTTGAACCTGCCCCTATATATATATATATATATATATAGGCCTATTCAAGGGAGAACTGAGTAGTTTGTGGTAACCGTGAGATCCAATCTCAACCACAAATCAATAGATAAATTAGGAAATTTATAATTTTGGTAATTTTTAATTATAAATTTTGTAATGCAATGACATTTTAGGTATTTTCTCTCCTCTCTCCTCTCTTCTCTTCTCTCTCCGTCCCCGTCTTCCGGCCTCCGGTGATACCACAGTGTGATACTCAAGCACATATAAGATGTATTATGATACCACTGTGTTACATATCCGACCGACCACACAAACGACCTCAGTGTGATGCCCAATCACATATAAGATACAGTGTGATACCACTGTGGTATCACCGGAGAACAGTGGCTGAAGGACAGTGGCCGGAGGCCGGGGGATGGAGGCCGGGAGACGGAGAGAGAAGAGAGCAGAAAGGAGATAAAATACCTAAAATGTCCTCGCATTAAAATTTTAATTAAAAATTATCAAAATTATAAATTTTCTAATTTATCTATTGATTTGTGGTTGAGATTGGACCTCACGGTTACCACAAACTAATTAGTTTTCATTTGATTAGGCCCATATATATATATATATTGGGACTCGATAATTTGAGAACTTTAAAATTTGTAAAATCCATGCACACTTCTACCTTTAAGGTTTTGTTTCACATTTTTCTTTCAATCTAAGTAAAATATTTCATGTATTAGTTAAAATATATTTTGTTTCACAATGCAAAAAAGGTTCAAATTGTGAACCAAATACATGTAAAACAAACACACTATGAAACAAATATATGTTAATCAATACATTAAACTATAACCATAAATGAAAGAAAAATCATACGAAATATCACATGTTGCACTTGTTCTCAGAGATCTCACGATTTAGAGAATTTCTCAAAGTGACAATCCTATATATATACACACACACACACACTTTTATATATTGGGTTAGGTTAAGGGAAAACAACAAAAAAATAAAAAAGCTGAGGAACACCATATTAACCGTTCATCTAGAAGGTATCCACATGTGTATACAAGTAATTTTGAAACAATTTGTCCGGTATGAACATGTGAATAACATGCACACGTGCATAAATACCAAGAAACAAGTTTAATTATTTGTGGATACATGTGCATAACGTCTAAATGAGTGGTTATCAGTGTGTTACTCAATTATTATTTTTTTGGGTTTTATCCTGAACCTCCCCATATAAATATACTCAACTTTAATTATTTGTGTTCACCTTTGTTTGACACATATGTTTTTACAATTAATAAAAAATTTCATCACTCAATTTAGTCTGTAGATTTTAAAGATTAATGGTCAAGAATAATTAACACCAATGGCTTGGTTACAAAAGAACTAGCTCCTATATATATAAATAGGTCGTGTGAGAATAAGAGTTAAGGTGAGAGATGATCAGGTCCCTTGATCACTTTTATTCTCACCCCCACCCTATGAATTGCGCTTTTCATGGAAATTGATCTGATGCATCTTATTAGGGTTTATTTTTAGTTAAGATTGATCCAAGAGTATAAATATGTTCTTACCCTTTTGACCGTGACTTTCATTCTTACCGGAACCCAACCCTATATATATAGGGTTGAGTTCCGTGAGAAGGGAAGTTATGGTGAGAAGTGTAAGTAGAGATATCCACTCTTGAAATTAACGTAAGAAGAGATATCTACCCTTGAAATCAATCCTAATTGAATGTCAACACCAATGAGGTGCATCGAGATGCATCAGATCAATTTTCTTCTAAAGTACAATTTATGGATGGGCATGAGATTAAAAGTGATCAAGGGTTTAGATCTCTTTTTATGCTTCTCACAATAACTTCCCTTATTACACGATCCTTCGCCTATATATATAACCGTCAAAACAAAAGTTGAAGGAGATATATATAAACATCTTTCTGCAAGACGCATAAAACAAAATCAAAAAACAAACATCACAAAAACAAAAAGGCAACCAAATAAAAAGCATCACTAGCTTCGAGCCCTCATCAACCAAAGAAAGTGCGTACCCTCTTGGGTTGTAACACCAATTCGGCCAAGAGTAGTAGCCATTTTGAGAAATTCCGATTTTCTAAGTTCTTCGAGAGCATCGAGGTTATAGCTTAGGTCGACCAAGTTATGATCAGCGGAGGTATGTCATGCGACCGGTATCAAGGAATAAACTGCTTCACATCCATAAATGAGGCAAAAAGGAGTTTGTCCTATCGATGATCGTGGGGTTGTGCATTGGCCCATACAACTGACGGGAGTTCTTCGACCCATCTACCTTTTGTTGTTTTCAATATATTTTTCAAAGAACTTATGATGATTTTATTGTTGGATTCAACTAATCCATTTCGACTGTGGATATCGTGGTGTCGAAGTTATTAATTTAATGCATCGCTCATCATCAAAATGACGAGTTTTATCACTGATGAACTACGACCCGCCATCACATACAATTTATCTCGAACTTGGGAAAAAGCGGCAGCTTCGATACATTTAGAGAAATAATCTGTAAGGGCCAATAAAAATACCTTTTTGCCCTCGTGTTGGGGGTAATTTTTTCACTATGTCCATCCCCCATCTCATGAATATCCATGGGATGAGTGTAAGATGTAATATTTCAGAGGGTCGATGTATCGTACCTGAATGTCTTTAACATGTGTCTCCATTTTGTATGAATTTAATCACATCGTGCTTTAATGTAGGCCAATAGTACCCTTGTCGTGAGATTCCATTGGCTAAACTTCGACCACCTCTGTGGTTGCCACATTCTCTAGAATGCATATCCTTAAGGATTTATTGTGTTCATCGTCCACAGACACATTGAAGATTCAACCCTGTAGAGGATCGTTGATATAATGTTCCTGCGGTCATTACGTATCGAAACGGTTTGAATCAGATTTTTTGAGCTTCAAGTTTGTCGTCAGGTAATCGATCGTGGATAAAATAGTCTTAAATTTCTTTCGACCAATCATCTTCCTCATCAAGGACTTGTATATGATCATTATCCAAGTATAATTCATAACTATCGTCACATGCCTTTTAGGGGCTCACTTGGTTTGAAATAGAAAGTCTTCACAATCCTTGTTTGTATGCTTATATCGCTGTCTGGATACCACCCTTTTTCACACCGATTATCTATGAGTTGAAACGGTTGAAGTAGTTGCGATAGATTCACCCGACTTTCGAGTACTGTAATATAGATCACTAGTTTCTTTTTCCATTTTACATTGCTGAAAAATTTCTTGAAAAATTGGTGTCGAGGAAATAGTATAGCAAACCAAGTACCATTTCACATGGTTCCTTGTAGTTGTTTAGGCTGACATGATCACATGTTCTCATACTAAGTTTAGAAGTAAGAGAGTTGGTGAGTACAAACTTGTTGGCCAAGTTTTGTACCGCAAGATTCGGGTTGTCAGTAATAGTATTTTTCATACTACTAGTTGACTTCTTACCTTGTACCAATCTTCTTTAGGCTAGATATGTGATTTAGGGTATTATCCTTGCAAAGCAGAGAAGTAGTAGAATAAAATGAAGTTGGTGGTAATAAATAAAAAGCACCAGTGGTCTAGTGGTAGAATAGTACCCTGCCACGGTACAGACCCGGGTTCGATTCCCGGCTGGTGCAAAGCTGTGATGATAAATGCGCTCCATGTGTTGGATGGGTCCTTCGCAACTATTCTGATATATCAGAACATATAGCAGCGCTTCTGAGCTTTTCTTTTTATTTATAATGGCAAATGCCAACACTTCTATATCAAAAATTTAAACCAATATCATATTATAAAGTATTTGATAAAAAATTTTAAAAATCATTTTTTATGCATAAAATACTATTTATTAGTGCATATTACTTAAAACTCAAGATTGTAAGTAAATTGTCTATATCTGAATTCGTATAACTAACTGCAGATAAACATAATCAAATACGGGATAAACATCTCATTTTAAATATAAAAAATCTAAAATATAATTAGGATAATCCCTGAGTTCTAACAGAATATTTAATTATTATCTTTATAAAATATTATATTATTTAATATCAAAAATAAATTATTCCATTATTAAACTTAAATTAAATTATAATAAAAAATAAATTAAATAAATTACATAAAAAATGAGAACTTTTAAATAGTTTATTTGATATTAATATTGATATATTTTTTTCAAAAGTTTATGATATCTTCAAATTTATATTTTATTCAAAAATAAAATCATTATTGTTTTCTTAAAAACACATAAAATCGTATTATAATATCGACAGAGAAAAATAATAAAATAGAACATTAAAATCGAGATGTGTCTCGCTGTATTGCGCGATTACTATTCTAGTTAAATAAAAAAGACAATGGGTCAGTATTTATCGGTAAAATTCAACACTATCTATCACTTACTTGATAGGTAAGATTTTATTTTGCCAAAAAAGGGTATCATATATAACAATTTGTCCAGTAAGTGTTAACCATGGTATATTAGTCTTCGTTTTAAGGGGGTATATTAGTAAAAATAACATATTTCTCTTACTTTTTCTCCTCTTCAAGGACATGAAAGAATATTTCTTTCTTTTCATTTCCTTCCTTTTCCCACCCATTCAAAAACAAAAATAAAAAATTTATTTTCCTTTTTTTTCTTTTAAAATTCGAGAATTGTATATAGGTTTTTGCTATGATATGTTAAAAAGACTTTGTGTGTTTGGGATTGCTTATTTGAAGCAATTTATGTTTTTTTACAAAAACATTTATCAACTTATTATAAGTTAGAAAGATTTAACTTCTTCAAAAACTTCTTATTACCGGTTTGGCACCGGTATAAGTTGTTTATCCAAACACTCAAAAGTGTTTATTACTAATGACATACCGAAATAAATCAATAAATTATTTTTATAAGCAATCTTAAACATCCCTAAATAGTTGCTTGCTTTCATGAAAGTATAACATAAACTAGATAAAGATGACATGAGTTTGATTGGCTAATACAATCTTCGATGAAAGTCAATTCACAAAACAAAATAACTTAAATAACCAATTGGACCTTTTAAATTCATAAAATAATCGATAATGTATATAAAGTTTTACTTTAATTGATTAAAATGTATTTTATATATATATATATATATATATATATATTGGATTGAGTTCTCGTAAGAAAGGTTCTTTACCATTGGATCAATCTTAATTAAAGATTTAGGAGATACTCGATCAATTTCCTGTTAAAGCCCAATTCATGGGTTGTTTTGGAGTTAAAATTAATCAAAAATTTAAATCTTTTCTTAGATTTCTCAACTTAACTCTTATTCTCACACGATCTTTCGTGTATATATATATATAAGTTACAAATCATGTAAAAGTTAGAAACTGTATGAACCAATCAAGACCATCTAACCCATTTCATCTACCGTTCATTTTAAATAATAGCATAACTGAAATTAATTTCAAAGTCATTACCAAATAGATAATAAATTTAGGAAAAGGATCATCCGTTAAATTAGGAAGATACAAAGAATCCTAAAAATTGTTCACCATGATATATCCCAAATCAGTTTATCACAATCGATCCTAATTAAGTCGACTTTGAGAATAATATTGGTTCACCGGTGATAATCGGTTCTTGACCATTACAAAATTTTGTTAGTAGGTGAAATATATTTTCCATTATAATGGTCTTCATATCAAATTTCGAGTAATCTGTGAAAGAATGGTCAAAAGAAAAGGAATTTGAAAAGTTGTGAAAACAGTAAAGATGTTTCACTAGTGAAATGATTTGATGAGAACATGGTTTCATCCAGAATCTTCAATTGAGGCTCTATTTTCTTCAACATCATGTTTGGTTACGCTGATTACATGCGACTCTGTTTTCTTCATACATTGATTTATTTGGAATTTTCAACATCATTGTAATAAGACAATGTGTTGATAAATCTATTTAGTAACTGTTAAAAGGTATATATTTTTCAATCTTGACTAACTTAACTCTTGTTTGTCCTTATTTGACAAAGTGTTAATAGGTTGGGGTAGATATTGTCAATTAAACAAAGTGTTGTTTGTTTGTAAAAGAGAAGGACTGCGCCTCACTAATGGGAAAAGATGAAGGGTAGCGGAGTTCGTGTGCTGGAACTTCAAGGGGCAAATATGGCTTATTGGAAACTTGTATAAGTCCATTTATTTTTCGGATGGAGCTCATAATTCACTTTCAATTTTGAAACCAGTCCAAAGAAGCGCGCTCTCTCTCTGTCTAAGATCTTATTCTATTCTCTTTCGTTTATATAGTGTTAGTATTTTACTTTTGGCTTTGTATACGAGTAGTGATAACATTAGATTTGTCAAATCTCATATGTTTGTAATATGTTTCTCTCATTTCGTTTTTGTTTTAAATGATCTTAATAAAGTAAATCTTTGGATATATTTCGTTTAACATGGTATCAGAGGTTTAGGTAAGCTTCTTTTCATCGATTTCTTCATTTTTGTTTATGTCGATCTTTGGAAACAGATAGGTGAATGGTTAGGGTTCTTGGTGCATGAAGCTTCTATGTTCTTGACTACCAGATCTTACCATGATATTTGATTCATCTTTCTTTTTAATTCTTTTTCTATGAAATGATCGACTAGGTTATGTACCATATAGATCGGTTGGTCTTCCTTGGTCCCTTTTCGAGATCTGTTCTCCTTACGATTTTGAGATTTTAGGTTTCTTGGATCTATTCTTTTGAACTATATATCTGGATGTTTGATTCTGTGTTTTTTCTAAGATCTGTGTCCATATTCCAGATCATTGTTTCAATTATGTGTCCATTTTCCAGATCTACTTCCTTTCTTTAGATCTATGTCCTTTTTCTAGATCTGCTTATGTCATAAAATGTATGTATGTTTTTGGCTATACTGATTCTTTTTGTGGAGGTCTCTATTGACTGTCAAAGATCTGTAGTCCTTTAGATCTTGACTGTCGCTTGTGCAGATATTGTTTCTTATGATCGATCGGGTGCTTACATCTGTTGCACGTATTATTGCATGTTCATTAATCTGTATCTTCTTGTGTCAAGATCTGTGTCCTTCTAGATCTGGCATTCTCTTTTGTTCTAATATTTGTTGTTTGTTCAGGTGCATCCTGGATCTGTTCTCCAATATCTATTTTTTTCTTGCTTTTAACAAAAGGTAAAAGTCGGCAGGTGGTTTTCTTGTTATTCCTTCCTTTAACTATGTTAGAGGATTCTGTGGTAAGGTTGTTGCATTCTGTTGTGTATTTTTGTTGTGTGTTCCTTTTCCTTTTGAGGAATCTGAATTGTTGGATTGAACTAGCACGTTGCAGTGTTTTAGGAATCCTACTTTTAAGCTTTTTCAGTTCCTTGTTGTGTGCTCCTCTTCTTGCCTTATGGAATCTTCACCAGTTGCACCTGTAAGTTCAGTGGAATCCAAAGTCACAAAATTAGACTTTGGAGATCCACTGTATTTGCATCCTAGTGACACTAATGGAGGTTATATATTATCTTTCAAGTTAAGTGGGACTGAGAATTACAGAGTTTGATCTTGTGCTATGATATTGGCGTTAGAAACTAAAAATAAAATAGGTTTCATTGATGGTTCATGTCCGCGTTCGATAAACGACCCTATCCTAGAGAGACAGTGGGATCGTTGCAATTATGTGGTTCTCTCATGGATCTTAAGCTCCATGATTGAGGACTTGTTTCTTGGACAAGTTTTTTCAAAATAATCCTCCCAAGTTTGGGAAGAACTAAAAGGAAACCTATGACAAAGTCGATGGGTCGGTCACATTTAATCTATATCAGAAAATTAACTCTCTAAGTCAAAACAATGTGTCTGTTTCTGAGTATTATCATAAGCTAAATTCTTTTTGGAAGCAATATGATGCTCTTGTAAAACTTTTGTCCTGTACTTGCAAGGCCTCCCATGATTTTTGGGAACACAGTCAGTTGATTAAGCTCATGCAGTTCCTTATGGGTTTAGATGATATTTACCAACCAATTAGAAGTAACATTTTAACTAGAGATCCTCTTCCTTCTGTCAGAACTGCTTTTTCACTCGTTTCAAGGGAAGAATCTCATAGAAGAGTTAATGTAAATCAAAATCGTGTTAAAAGCCAAAGTTCTGCTTTCTTGAGTAAAGATTTTGATAATAGAAGAAAACCAGAAAGAAACCCCACTAATCTTGTTTGTAAGCACTGTGGTAACACATGGCATACTATTAAACGTTGTTTCAAACTAATAGGGTTCCCTAAAGAATTTCATAATCGACCTAGACCTCAAAACCAAAGTCAAAATTTTAAAATCCAAAATCCTAGTTTCAGACCTACTATTGGAAATGTTTCTACTTCTGATTTTATTTCTTCTAAGTCATCTTTTAGTTTTTCAGAAGAATAGGTTGCTAAAATTTTGAGCTTAATTGATCAAAAACCTACTTTTGATGGAGTTATTGCCAATATGGGAGATATGTTTCAAAGTTCCCAATCTGTGTGGATAATTGACTCTGGAGCTAATCAACATATGACTTCTAACTCCTTAAATTTAGAAAATTTTGTGATGTCACTGATTTAAATCTTAGGGTTAGTCATCCAAATGGGACTAAAGGCAAGATAAATAAAATTGGAAATTTGAAACTATCCAATAATGTTACTCTTTTTTATGTTCTTGTTGTTCCCGAGTTTAATGTAAATCTTCTGTCTGTCCACAAGTTGGCTAAGGATAATACAGTTTTTATAAGATTTGAT